TCTTGAGAATTACAATGTCTATTATCAAACTCCTCCACATTCTGGTCAATATGTGCCACTAGTGCACGAGTTGAACTATGCTAACATCATGGTAAGATTTTTAAGTATTACAACATCTGTGCATCTTTTGCATAAATTTTTCTAAAACTGAACTACATTGCTGACTACGAAGTTATTACTATGTTTTTCAACAGATAATCCCGCAGGAGTGTGTGCCTCATCTGATGTTTTCCAAAGGTCGCCTTGATATTTAGAATATACAGCCAGGTCATCCTACGAATCACTCCTATTCATATCGGATTTCTAAAAGCAATGAAGATATGACCATCAAAGATTGGAACAAATGTATGGCCACTCCTAAGGAGGTACTTGGAAGCAACATTAGGCGCAGTGCAAGAATTGGAGACAGGATAATCTCCATTCTCCATAATGGAGAGTCAGGGCCTATCTTGTTTTATGTTATTTTACCTGAGAGAAGGTAGTAGGTTCTAGCTAATACTTATGATCATGTGCGATCATGTGATAAGAACAACTAAGTAGGATTGGTTAGATGACTATGATGATGATGTTGTATCGAGTAGAAGTTGTATGATCGATGATGATGAGTAGGACTTGTTACTATGATACCAATGATGAGTTATTTATTATTATGATCGATGATGCATGATGCTAAGTTGTTATATGAGCATGATGAGTTATTATACATATATCAGTAGGTGAAATGAACATGTAATAGATTCAAGTGGAGGCAGCATGTGGTGTACATCGAAAGTACTACTAATCCAAACTAGATCAAGTTTGTATTAGTAGTACTCTCGACATGCACCACATGTTGTCTCCACTTGAATCTACTCCACGTTCATTTCAGCCACTGTTATATATGATACCAATGATTGAGTTATTTATTGATGAAAGTACTATATATAAAACCATAACAAAAATAACCTGTAATTTAAAAATACAGGAAAAGGTAGCACCAGCGCTTTTCTATAGAAACGCTACTGCTACTTACAACTATCAGCAGCACTTTTCCAGGATGAGCGCTACTGCTAACTAGGTATAGCAGTGGCGCTGGCATTCCAGCGCTACTGCTAAGAGTTAGCTGTAACGCCTTAGTAGTAGCGCTGGCTCAAGCACTACTAGTAACTCTCAAACCACCGCTCCTACTAGGGTTTTCCCTAGTAGTGTCATCGTGCATGTACTCAATGAGCTGCCTGCGGCGGTCGTCGTGACCGAAGCCCCGCAAGTTCCAGAATAGAGCGTGCATGATCACTCGCCTAACGGTTCCTCCCTGGACCCTACGGTAGTAGTAGTAGCACTAAGGGCCCGACGCAATTGAGCAGTACGTGAACGCGTCCGACCACGGATCTCATCGGGTCGTCCGCAAGGCGACCCCGACCCCCAGCCCGGCAGGGCGTAGGGGGGGAAGCTCCGCAGCTGTTGCTGCCTCACGTGCCTGAGTGGCCGCGAGATGGCCCTCCAGAATCTCCTTGGCCTGGAGGGACGCAAGCTGCTCTAAGACCGGTCCCTTCTCGCCACGGAAAACTATAGCCGAGTCGGCTGCGACCTTGCCCAGACGCCCAAGTGGCACACCAACAAGAGCGGAAAAGGAATTGACGCAAATATCATCGGAATCAGGACAAGGAGCCCGGGAGTCGGACGGACCTATGTCGAGGTTGCAGATGGCGGCGCATCGTGACGCGTTCTCCATCACGGTCGGCGAGGCCCCCGCCAGCCGAGGAGCCGCCTGGGGCCGGGCACTCTTCCAAGCCGACGAGGCTGGAGTAGAGGTCGAGCGGTGGAGGCCCGGGGACTTGGGTGGCCTGGACGACGTGGGAGAGGAGGCAGCCACGGGACCGGACTCCAGGAGAGCCGTCGCCGAGGGGTCCTCCCGGACGGGCACCGGAGACACGAGCCGTAGGGAGGATTGGGGACGGACCTCCATGCTACCCCGGCTGTCACCACTCTCCTCCTCATCAGACAAGGACAGCAGCGCAGGGAGGAAGGGAGGGGGAGGGTTGTGCTAGGTGGGAGGGTGGCAGCCTCGTCGAGCATGGCTGCAATAGCCTTGACATCCTCGGACTCCTCCCTGGGGCAAGCGTCGTGGGAGCCAAGCCCCGAGCAGTGGGTAGACAAGCGGTGGGAGGAGCCGGCTAGGGGATGATCGTCCCCAGAATTTGTCGAGTCGTCGTCGGAGGCCTCAGAGCGGCTACGAGGGCGACGGGGTGAGCCCTAAGTGGCAGCGCGCCCCCCCCCTCCCCGCCAGGCCTCGGCTCGGGGTTGAGGGGATCGGTGGGAGCCCACCCTCAACCGAGATGTGCAGGTCGTAACCGGCGTCGTTGAAGAATATCCTGATCGTCGTCTTGAGCTTGGAGGGGTCTGGAGACTTGATCTGCACCCGAACAGCCGGGCCCTTGGGCAGAGAGGCGCCGTCGACTGCCACAAACTTGCCCAACAAACGGGACAAGCCACAGATGACACCCTCATCCCTAGCAGGTGGGGGGAGCCCACGGATCTGCACTCACACCGTGGACAGGGTGGCCAACGCAAGCGGGTCCACAGACGGGACCGAGATGCGGACGGAGAGCTGGTTGAGGGCGAGCGTGTGTCTGGCGCTATGGGTTTTGCTACAGCTATGGGGGATTACGGGCCATGGGGGGGTACGGCCTTATGGGGTGGGTACATGCAAATGTGGAGGTTTATAATTGGAATTAGGCGAGGAAGGGGCCCCCACCTGAGATCACTTGGACGGAGAGTCTATTAAATTTTTTAGATTCTCAGTAAATCTGTACAAAAGTTCAAAAATGGTCAGGTATATAAAATAAAATAAAATTTTGAATAATTCATGAGTTCTAAAAAATGTTCATGAACTTCTTTTTTGCAAATTTAGGAAAATGCAAATATTCATTAATAGAAATGTTATGAGCAAATAAAAGTGCATATGTATGCAATCTTTACAACCAAAACACAACGAATGTTAATTAGCTTTACATGCGCCCAATCATAAAAGTTCCGGTCCGTGTAAATTTTGCCAAGCCAGACAAGTTGTTTGTGCCTCCCACTCATCACTCAGTTGATGGCTCCTCCGCAACATCTGGTGCTACCTTTGTCGGCAGCCGGCTCTTCTATTAGCTTTGCTCTAATAGAACGAGGGGACAGGAAGAATTACAGAGGCAAGGCAAACAACTGTGCCCTCTATCCTACCCGTCCATTCTTGCATCAAAGTTAATGAAAGAAAATCTCTCTTTTTTTCCACAGATAAAAGAACTTTGTTATCTTTCCCTTGAGCAATTAATGGAAAGAGGATGTCTTGTTGAAAAAAGAAAGAACATTTTAGCTTGACTTTGCGGAGAAGTTTCAAGTACTATCATGTGCTATCACACAAGTACTATCATGTGCAGAAAAGTTTCAGATTTTTTTAATGTAACATTATTATTTTTAAATATGATACAGTTCATTCAGAATTTGAAATTTGACAAATTCATCTTTCATAAAAAAAATAACAATGAGTGACACTTGTGTATAGTTGATCTGCGAAGTCTTAACTGAGGAGTTGTTTCAGCTTCCTGCTTTTTGGTGCATGTGACATTTGTGGATTGCACGAATCTTGACACAAACTGAATGATCTAGATGGAGAGTAGACTGGTATGGGGGTACAAAACAACTGTTTTTGTTGAGGAGCTGTTTTAGCTTTCTACTCTTCCATGCCTGTTATGTGAGATCTGCTACAGCTACGGGGGGATTACGGGCCACTGCAAATGTGGAGGTTTACAATTGGAATTAGGCTAGGAAGGGGCCCACCACCTAAGATCACTTGATCGCAGTGTCTATTAAATTTGTAAATGTTCATTAAATCTGTAAAAAAAATGTTCAAAATGATCAGGTATATAAAAAATATTTTTTTGGATAATTCGTGAGTTTAGTTTTTTTCATGAAATTAAAAAATAGCAAATTTAGGAAAATGCAAATATTGATCAATAGAAATGTTATGAGCAAATAAAAGTGCATCTGTAATTCTGTATGCAATCTTTACAACCAAACACAACGAATGTCCATTAGCTTTTACATGCGCCCAACCATAAAAGTTCCGGTCCTAAATTTTGCCCACCCAGACAAGTTTTCTATGCCTCCCACTCATCACTCTGTCGCTGGCTCCTCCGCAACCTATGTCTGCGCTACCTCATTCGGCAAGTGGTTCAACATCTTTTCAAGGACGGCTTGCACGACCTTTGGCACATCGAGATCCAACTCGTCCATCTTGATGGCCAACATTTTTGGTTTCCTCTGAAGCGCTCGCGGCTCAACCCTCCTCTCTTCGAGTTTGGTTTTCTTTTCTTTGAGCTTTGACTTTTGATTTCCGACGTTGATCTTTTTCTCCCTCGCCGCCATGAAGATGTCAAATCTTTCCTCTTTCTTTTCCTCCTTGATGTCATGGCGATTGACACATGCCTCCTTCTTATTGTCCATGAAGCCCTCGAGCTTCTATGCCATCTTGTCCACCGCCCCTTCTCGTAAACCTCCCCTGACATTGCCTCTAGGCTCTAGTGTGCGGAAATTTGGAATCCGAACGCGTCCGCAAATGTTTGTGCCACCATGCTCGACGGCAAAAAGGATCCGAACGCGCCGGCCATAACGTTTGCGGGGGTTTTAAGGCACGAGATACCCTAGGTATTCAGTGGTCATAGGGGACAGCGAGATGAGATCACCTTAATCTGACTTGCACACTTACAACCTTACGTTGATTAACGTTCACAAATAAGTATAGAAATTACCCACATATACATGCATGTACGCTTGTAGGTTATCACATTATTATTCAAGTAAATTCTGCCTCGTAGACGGCCGGGAAAACAATAAACGACGCTGACACATTAAGGGATTCATGCATATCCCAGTGATTACACACTTGAAAGCTGAAACTTGAACGTGAACATCGATATCGTCACGAGCTGGTGCTGAACGATCGAATGACGCCATGCATGCATGCTTTTTTCTGCAGTTTAGAAGTCCAGGTCGGACCATCTGATGTTGACCTCACCTTGGCTTGTGTCAAGATTGAGGCTCTTCCAGATATGGGATGAGGCGCCCACCTCGTTGTCGCAGCCGGCGCACTCGTCGACCACCTTGACGTTTATGCCAATATTGAACGAGTCGACGATGCGGATGTACCTGCCGCACCGTGCCCCGCCGGCGTACCACTCCGAGGACAGCGACACCACGAACTCGTCGTCGCTGTGGAACTGGCCGTCGCACGACGCCGGCCCGCCGCCCCCCTCTCCCTGCTGGAAGCCGTTCACCGTCATCACCGCCGGGACGTTCTGTCGAAGCTCGAACTTACTTTCCGCGGGGTGCCTGGAAACGGCGCATGACACCTGCAGGAAAACTACTAGAACAACGCAGGAAATCACAGCGGCGTTGGTGGTGCTCGCCATGGTAGATATGTGGTGGTGCTTTCGTTTATCAGGTAGCTAGCCTGCCGTGTGCGCTTTGCTTTCTCAAGGCTGTTGGTTCGAGCTAGCTTATATAGGCTCCTGCGGCAGCCTGCAGACAAAGCGAGGGACGTACGTTCTTACGCATGTGCATGCCGCCCTCGTGTGTCTCGTCGAAGAATATTGTCCAAAGACTGCAGACAAAGCAGTGCTTCTCTCCCAATGTCACCAATTCTTTCGACCGGTAATTATTTTCCAACACAGCTACAACTACAACAACCCAATTTTGCAGCTGTATTGGTAAACGGTAAGCCAAAGTTTATCTCATGTTTTGATTCCGCTTTCTTGTTTTGCACTACAGCACGCACAACTGGAATCGCCCTTTTCACCGAGTAAGCACTCATCAAATCGTTTGCGGAGTGTTTTAAACACTCAGCAAACTCTCAGTTGGATTGACCATATTTTTAGTAGGTGTGACTATTGCTCAGGCAACTTGAGAATAGTTATTTCAGCCAGTACTCTTAAATGTTGGGTTCTTGGGAGCTCTCGGGTGCTCCACCCTCTATATGAATATTAAATTCAAAAAATACCAGAAAATTCTCATGAAAACCTGAAATTTTGGGGTATCAAACCTTGGCGCCCATTGTACTCCCATGTTTAGTTTCGTCAAAAAATGTTCACTCTTGTTTCCAATTCGTTAGACTGAACTTGCTTTTATCGGGTGTGACTATTGGTCTACTCCTGTTATAATTTTCTTTTAACACAGTACATATGCCTGCTGTACTTGCAGACACAGATGCGCTGTCCAAAAAGTTGGCACTTTTTTCCAATAGCAACTTGGAACTGGTTCCTTCATACTCAACACTCACAGACGTCGGATGAAAATATTTTATCCTTTTGTACTTACATGATTTGACTATCCAAATGAAATCTTCTAATAGTTGATTTAAAACTAATTGTTTATCGCTTGACTTAAAAATGGGAACGATCAATTTTTTAAGCATGTCACCTCATCATACAGTTAAGAATTGGATAAAGCACACCTTAACATGTAAATCATGCATGGAAAAATATTTTCCATTGAATTATTCTGAGTATATAAAACCGAATATTGTTACAACTATATGTAATCAATTATTAGAAGTCATATGTATTTTAAACTTTGCTTCTCTTGTTATTAACCCAAAGTTTCATCGACCAATGCCCGCTTCAATGCGTGAGGTATCTCTAGTTTCAGAAGTAGCTGGTAACTGAGAAACAACACGAATCATTTTATTTAGAGTGATTGACAAAAACCTACCACAATTGGGGTCGGCGTCCCACAGAACTACCACTTTGAAAATTTTGACGGAAAACTACCGAAAATTTCTTAATTTGTCCCTAAAAACTATCAGTTTCAGTTGATGATCATTTTAGACGATTTAAACAGAAAACTGACAGGACTGGCCCACCCGTCAAGGCTGATGTGGCTGAAAAGTCAATGCCAGGGGAGACTCGCCAGGAGTGGAGGCAACTCAGGCCACTGGCAAGGTGCGCCGGCAGCTGTGGCCACGCATGGCGACCGGCGTGGCAGCCGCGGCCACACACGGCGACGAGCAGCAGTAGAGGCCACGTACAGGTCGTCGTTGCAGCCGTCGCCTCCCACCGCCGCAGCCGTCACCTCCCACCTCCCGCCCCCACCCGCGCAGCAGATCAACGTCGCCGGACTCGTCCTCCCGTCTCGCCGCCGGACCCATCCCCCCGTCTAGCCCCCTACAGATAGCCTAGGGCCGGCCCCAGTCTCGCCCGGCAGCAAGGGCTCTCTGCGATGGTGGTTCTGATTCCGGGGGAGGGAGAACTGGCCTTCGGCGGCAGCCAGGACGACGACGACACGGAGGACGCCTCGCCATTCAGCAAGGAGCTGGAGGCCATGGTGGAGGCGGCGACTGCGGCGAGCGTGGAGCTGGACGCAGCCGCTGACTGGGCTCAGCCGTACGGGGACGACCGAATGCCCTGTGCACCGGCTCGTGTTCGTGCAGGAGTCACCCCGTGTGCCCGGGAAGAAGGCGCCCAAGGAGTTTGTGGCCGCCGTCTCGCGCCTTCTCCGGCGCTGCCTCCGTCTTCCTCGACTCCGGCAGCCTCTAGACGCGCGACATGGACCACACCAGTGCACATGAGGTGTTTGTTAAAATGTGTGTGTGTGTGAGAGAGAGAGAGGAAGAAGAAGAAGAAGGTTCAGCCACTTCAGCCCTGACGGCTGGGTCCAGCTTGTCATAAACGTGTTTAGATCGTCTAAAACAGTCATCAACTGAAAGCGGTAGTTTTTAGGGACAGATTAAAAAAATTCGGTAGTTTTCGGTTAAAATTTTCAAAGTGGTAGTTCTATGAGACGCCGACCCCCAGTTGTGGTAGTTTTTTGTCAATCTCTCTTTTATTTAAGGTTAAACATTGCCATACAGTACATATGCGCCACATGTGTCATTTATGGTTGTGTGACAAGCACACATGCTAGCTATATCCAATTTCAGGGTCCATAATGAAGGGATTGAAACGTCAATTGAAAAATGATTATTTCTTGCTTCCACTAGAGATTGCAAATCCGAGTTTTATATTTGTCTTCATAAATTGTTTCAGCAATAACGGAATAGCGAGACCGAGTGAAACTGAAAAATACACATTCCATTTATTTAAATTAATAAACATTGCCACGTACTACATACGGAACACTAATCTTATTTATCGTTACCTCAAGATGGCCAGTGGGGGTAATATAAACGATATCATGCACTTGAGACTCGCAAACATGCTTATGTAGCAGATAATTAAAAAAGAGAGAGGGTTCTAGTAACATAGGTAGATATCGTATCATAATTAATGTTATGCTACTATGTGTCATGCATTGTAATAAGTGAGACCAGGTATGGACTCCCTCAGTTCCTAAATAATTATCTTTTTAGAGATTTCAAATGGACTACCACATATGGATGTATATAGACATATTTTAGAGAGTAGATTCACTCATTTTACTCTGTATATAGTCACTTGTTGAAATCTCTAAAAAGACAAATATTTAAAAATGGAGAAGTACTATTTTACGATACTATGCATCATAGATGTAATATTATACACTAGTATTATATGCATAGTATCATATGCATGATACTCACGTATGATACTCCCCACTATGATACACCACGCAAAGAGGCTAGCCATCCAATTATTGCGGCGTACCTGCACGCTGGAGTACGGAGTACACACACAGCATCAAGCGTTGCACGTGGGCGCGCACTCGTCGACCTCGTCGGCGCACCCACTGCATATGGGCTGGTCGCAGCACTTCCATAGCCGCCTCCCCGGGCCATGGCTGCTGCTCCTTGGACCTCCTCCTCTGCACCTGCACCACCACGCAGTAAGTACGTACGTTCGTCAGTTCTTCGTGGCTGCATTGACCCTCTTGCAGTCGCCCTTCTATTGTGTCGCCCTATCGGCTCATAGCGAGCGTGACACGTGGTCCCTACTGTTGCCCCGTCGTTCTCCCCACAGCTGCAACAACCCCGCGAGCTGCCGCTGCATTGTCTTTTTGGATTGTAGTGCCGTGGCCCGCAGTCCACGGTTGCCCCGAGGTCGTCCGCTCCAGGCTGTCCTCATAGATGCACTGGTCCTTGCATTGTTGCTACGTCGCCCAATCTGGCAGTAGCGAGCGTGGCACGTGGTCCCTGCCGCCTCCCTGAGGTCTTCCGCGCCGTCGCCCCGACCCGCGCATTGTCGTTGTGTCGCCTCTTCGGGCCGTAGCACCACCGCACGCGGTCCACTTCGTCATCCATGCGCGTCGAGTTCTGCGTGCTATGCGCCGTGCCGCCTTTAATTCTAGGCGCGGGAACGTCACCGTCCACGCTGGTCGCGTCACGCTGTCCGGTTCTCCCTCGCCTATTTCGACCACCACCGTCGCGCTCCTAACCTAGCCGCTGCCGCCTCATCCTCAGGCCGCCGCCGCTGCCGCTCTTCTTCCTGGTCCATGGCGGCTACCTCGACACCGGCCACCCCGACTCGACATCCACCACGGCGTCCCTCGCATGGCTACCTCGACCACGGCTACACCACCCTACGCTCTCGGCTACCTCCACATCGGCACAAAGGGCTACCGCCTTGCTTGAGCAACGTCGTCGGTTTTCGCTCCAGCCACGACTTCCGCGATGCATCGATCGTTCGACTGTGGGAGGAAGTTCATCGGCTTACCTTCGAATTATTCTCCAGTCTCACCGTGTGCGCCGCTACCTTGTGACTACAGGGAGGTGTTGTGTATCGTGATTAGATTGGAAGCATAAACTAGACTAGAAAGTATTCTAGCTTGTCTTATACTCCACGAAAATCATGTTGGCCACGTAGGTCAAGCAATAAACACCAATATCCCTCGCTATTCCTCTTAGAACGACGACCTGGAAGCAAACAAGGCGACGCTGGAAGTGTCGAGCTATCCAGATCTCCCAAGAGTTCTGGTGACCGATGATCACGCAAGGATAGACCAGTGTTTAACAACAAGAACACATCAAATAAGTGGATGTTGGTTAAGACGTGCAGATTACTTTAGTTAGGTATCACCTTCCAGAAGCGATAATTTTCCCGAGGTGATCCGCCGAAAGCACAGACACATGTCTTTTATGGGAGTGACTACTGATCAGTCGACTGACTTTGTGATGTGGATCGGTCACTTTTTTTCTCTACATGCAGTGTGTGATGTGGTGTGTTGTGTGCAGTGTGCGTGCGCGCGTGAGCTAGCTCGGCCGCCTCCATGCGTGAGCTAGCTAGCTCCGGTTGGCCGCGTCCATGCGTGAGCTAGCTAGCTAGCAGCTCCGGCTGGCCATGGTTAGTGGCATGGTACTGCATTGCATAAAAGAAGAAAGGAAATGTAAAACCGTATAAAGCAAAGAATGACAGAAAATTACACATGATTGACATAGAAACTGCATTGTTTCATAATATGAAAAATAAGCATATAGTGGTGCAATTTTTACACAGTGGTAAGA